TGGCAAAATATTGTGTCTGCCGGCCAGAGTGCAGGGATGTCAGGCCGTTCGGCCAACACGTCTTTTCACCCTGAAGAGACCAAAGCAAAAAAAGCAAGGCTCCCTTTTTTCCCCAAAAAAATGTCCTGCAGTTCGTGCAAACCTGGAGAATTTGTTTCTGCAATGATCAGGGCCCAGCTCTAACACGCAGTATTCACCTTGTTGACAAAAATAAGAAACAACTGGCCAGAGATTGCACTGAGGTTGGGACTCAAACTAAGTCAATCTATGGAGCCTTTTGCTAGTTAAGAGTCTGCAGTCACATAAAACAGCAGCAACCCCTGAGATCATGGGTACTGGATTTTTCTTTGAACCTGTATGTGAGTCGCTGCAGAAATGTTCTACCAGTTAAAAAAAAAAGAGAAAATATCTTTCATCAGTAGCTTTGCAACATCAAACTTCAACAATACAGAGAAAATGCAACTAATGGTGTGATCTTCCTGAGCTATTGAATTTCATGACCACAAAAATTGACTTCTGCAGAAATTCTTACTTATTATTTCATTATTTGCCAGAAATAATCCACTTGTTATCGGTTTTCTTTGAAAAAAATCTCTTTGTGATAATGGGGTGGTAACTAAGCTCGTGACAGAGAAAACGTGTTCTGTTTTGTTTTTTTAGTTGAATTGTTATCCAAAAGAGTAATAAGAAGAAGAAGAATATGAGAGGAAAAACAGCCCCATAAGCCCCACTTTAACTCCTAACAAAAAAGAAATTAGATCAGGCAAGAGCCCTGGAGTCAGATTGGGTCAGAAAGAAGATCAAATGTCCATCTCCCCTGTGGAGCTTTGTAAGCACCACATCAGCACCACTTTTCACCACCAGCTAATACACCTAATGGACCCCACCATATAAAGGCTACTCTCTCTTGTGACTGTATGTGTGTGTATGTGGGTGGGTGTGTGTAAGAAACAGCTAGATCAGTGGAGAAAAACAGAGAAGAAAAACAAAGGGTGCTATACAGACAGGTTACAAACAGTTCAAAGGAAAGGAGCACTTAATGTAAAGTTTTCCTTCCATCTTTCAGTCTGACATGTGCGCCCCTTTCGTGCACTCCTCCCTTTAACTGACAGCATAAAAATGTCTCAGCTTCATGTTTGAATGAGCACCCCGGTCATATTTGCTTTACTTACTGGGTTTGGCCAATTAACATTTACATATTACTTTCAAGTCTGAACTGCGTGAAATCAGGATATGCACAAACTCACAGCAGTGCATGTCTCTGCCTGACTGTATTTTGTCCAGCTCACTAAATGCATGCCTGTTTTGCAGAATGTCCCGAATAGCAGCAGCACGTGTGTGATAACATAACTAAAAAACTTAATTTCTTAAGTGCAATTCGTTTGAGACATTTATGATTTTGTAGAGCAACCTCTCTCTCTCTCAGAGATTATGGCAGTGGTGGTGGGATACAGGTTTCTTTCATACACACAAACTAAGACCCTGCCTTACAATAGAGAAGAGAACCAAACATTCAAAAGCCTGATTAATTTTCACCAGACCAATACTGACAAGGCTCATTGCCACATGTATAAATCTTTTTGTTCCCCCCAATTACGTGGCTTTCTCTGTTGCCGTAAAATAATGTCTACATGCAGCCTAGTTTCAGATGAATTGTGTAGGTGTTATAAGATTGACATACCTACACATAATAAAAATACTCACACAAAAAAATTCAGGTCAACTTTTACAGAATGGAAGCCCTGAACAAGCTATATACTGAAAAACATGGAACAACAATCGTTCATTCCTCAACATAAAAGAGGGAATGGAAGTGAAAATGGCTTATTCTGGAGCTGACTTGGATTGTGAACTCTCTGCTGTTATTACCACACAGTTATTGTTTCTAGGCCTTAAATTCGACACCCTCCCACCCTGGGACCCATGCATTAGGTAGTGTTGTATTTTTAATAAGTTTTTAGCTAATGCATGTAATAAATCAACTATTATCATTAATTATTTTTCACAATTGAAAAAACATCCCCACAGCATTAGTAAAGATTAAAAAGGTAAAGAAAAGAGTTTAATTTAACTTGTGTTTATGTTACTTAAGCATGGCAGACTAAATCATTTGCCTCTCCTCTCTCCTCACACTAGCAGCAGATAATGTCATGACATGAACCTGAAGTGAACTGTTAACCTCACCAGCACCAGGTCTTCCTGCTTTTCTGGTTGAAACCCAACTTTGCATCTTGTGCAGCTCCTGTGGTTACTGTGGTACTACACTTTTTCACCATCAAATATGAATTTTACTGTAAAAATACTGTTACATAGTGAAATTTAGGATTGAACAGATGATCTTTTTAACTATGTATATGAAAGTTTTACACTTTATAAATACTTACTGATTTAAATTGCAAATACTGTCACTTTGTATTACAGTGCTGCCATCCTGTAGTGGTTTACACATTTGTCTAATAAGGCAAAAGATCCCTGGTTTGAGCCGGGCTCGATGTCCTTTCTGACACAACCTGGCATGAAAATCTGCAAAATCAAACACGTGGAACAACCTGCTGTGGCAACACCTTGTGAATAAGGGAGTAGCTTTACTGTAGTTTTATATTACTAACTTAATGTTGTTCTCAATGCATTTCTAAAATCCCAAATTCAAAGTACCACTGGAACACTATGTGACCAAAATCCTCAAATCGAAATAAATGGCTCCCTGTCTGCACCAGTAAAATGAGCTGTCAGACCTCATTGAAATCGCTGCCAGTCTTCAGTATCAAAACGTCTTATTACTTCCTTCTTTTACCACTTTCTCATCCCTTCTCCTACCCATTTTCTCCTCGTCCTTCACTTTCTTTATTTCTCTTTCAGCTTTGTTGATTTGCAATTGATTAGCTGTCCTCTCAGTCAGCTCAGTCCCATGCTCGACATCCCTCGTACCCTCCTCCCTCCTTATCCCTCGCCCCCCTTCCCCTTGCCTCACAGCCTATCCTCTCTTCCATCCGCGAGTCAATTTCTCTTTAACGAGCATTGGTACATTTCACTCCCCGGGCACCGGGGCCCTTCTGTGTAAATAAAACACAGAGCAGAGTCAAAAATCAATGGGCCTATTACCCTCCGAAAATGCTAAACAAGCAAAATTAGCGACTCGCTTGGTGGTGGAGGCCTTAATGTCCTCCGCCCTCCCCTTCCGACCCTCAGCATCACCACCACCAGCCCCCCTCTCTTCAATCTCAGCATCCACTCAACAAGCCACATACTTTGTATCATCATATTGAATGCCATGGATAGAAAACACATATTTAAGCCTGGGCATGTTGGTGTAATACTCAAAATCATTTGCTTCCAAAAGTCTCTCCCTCACACAAGGACAAAACGTGCACCGCACACTGCTGGCAGAGATGAGGGATTCACTCTTCTGAGAGAAATCATTGGGCACCACACGGAGCTACAGGCCACATTTAACCGCTTTTTATTTTGCCTGCCTTGCCCATATAAACACAGCACACGCACACACAAACAGCAGCAGCCAGCAGGAATTTATAGTAGGGATCCCATATTTTATCAGACGAGTCTGATTAGTGTGGCAGTAAAAAGCTGCACGTGTGTCCAACATTTGCACGCAGAAATACACACGCGTACTGACAGAAACAAACACTAGAGCACACACAAGTAAATGTCTACATTGTAGGAGCACACGCACAATGTGAACAAATACACAAATAGTGCACACAAAACTAAATAAACAACGAAAGTGTGCCTACAGACAAACACAGACCAACACACACAATCACACACGTGTGCACACACACACACACACACAGAGTAAACATGTACAGTATGTACAGGCTGTTAAACATACACACACACACGCGCATGCACACACACAGCAAAGCAAACACATGGTATAGATACAGAAAACACACACACACACACACACAGAAAGACAAAGGCCAACAATTTATCACTTCCATTCTCTCTCACACACACACATACGCACGCACACACAGCCACACACACTACACACACCATTTGTCTGGAAATGAATGTGTAGCTGGTTAGCTGTGGTTCATTTATCCTGGCAGCTGATGTGTGGTTAACAGAGACATTTATGCTAATGACCTTCTGTGTTTAAAAAAGGCAGCAATAATGTAAAGGCTCGTTAAAGGCCAAATCCTCGTTCGCTTGAGTCATTTTTCAGCCCATTTTCTTTTTCAATTAAACTGATGAAATTATTATTCGCATGTGAAATGACTATTCAACCTCACGAGGCAACCGACCGCTCGAAAATAGAACAGGGGACAAATGGATCAAATTCTTAAATGTTGGTGGCTGATGTTCTGGCCTCATCCTGGGCTGCTCCCGTTTCACTATGACTCTTTACAATGATTCAGAAAGTTGCTAAATGTGTGCCGTGAAGGGAGTTTTTTTTTATGTGTAACTCATTTCTCAAGTTGGGAATTCTAATCCTATTTTAGAAAATCCCAAGCAATAAGAATAACATCATTTTGTGTGTAAATATCAACATATTGATAATGTAACTTGTTTTATGTTGGAAATGCCACTTTTTCAGAGCACTTTGTAAACTGATAGCAGTCTTTGACATCCAGAAAAAGCAATAACTATACTTCGGAAAATCAGCTGCGTTATCTGTATTATGGAAGCACATGACCCTTCGCTGTCAAAGAAAATGGTGAAAGAGAAAAGGTAAAGACCTCAAAAATATTCTTCCAGAATATTACCAGCATGCTGGGACATTTTAAAAACTGAGATATGTCAGTCCTCTGCTTAAAAGCCGTCCTATGTAATGGCGTGAATAAATTAAAGTGCCTCCAAGTTTCCTGGACTTTGCCCAGTGAGATATTTAGAATTTAAAAGCACTTACAAATTGGAATAAAAGTCCCATTTCCATTTGCATTCCTTTTGTCACACAGTAGAGCGTGGTTTGCATCAGCTGTTTTGTTTTGTTGTTGTTTTTTCCTTTTCATCATTTGAGTAAAAACATCTCTTACCTGCTTGTGCATCTCGATGTTCAGCCCGTATGACATTTCGTAGTACTGAAAGATAAAAGCAAGGTCGATCAAACATGTCTTCTCTGTTCCTCTTTTTTCTCTCTCACACACACAGACACACACACACACACTAATAAAATACTAATGGCAACACATGAAGTAAGCTGTCTCACCATGACATAGTGCCTCTGCATCTCAGTTTTCTCACTGGCCAGTTTCTCACATTCCAATTTCAGACTGCGAGACAGATAGAAAATGTTTTGTTAGCACGTGTCACCATCAAACACACAGCAAGCTGCATCCATGCCACACGCAAACACATGATCAAAAGTAAAACCAAAAGACCAAAAATCTTTTCTGACTTCTAACTGACTTATTTTGTAGGGAGTGGATAAAAGAGGATGAGCGAGAATGAAACAAGACTTTAGCAAACTGAAAGCAGAGATGATACTTGCACTATACTGCGCAGGCAAGTCACTGCATCCTGCCACTTTAAATTTGCATTTCTAAATATGAGAGCTACAAAAGAAAGACAAATAAGTTGTTTGGAATGCAGCAATTTCCTCTGCAGACACAGGCACTTACTCAGCAGGTGTAGTGCAGTAATTAATGGATCGATGGACAACCACACAAACCTCATCATATATTCTTATAGTGCGAGTAAAAGCCTAAACTGCAACATCAACAAAAAAAGCAACCATAACATTAGGATCCATTTTGCGGAAAAGCTTAACTCTTTTGTGTCTGCCAGTGTGTCGCTCCTCATGAAGTTTTTGTGCATCTTTTAAGAAGGAACTCATCGGGTTTATATCATCATCAAAACCTTTGCGTGTACACGTCAATCACAGCAATGTAAAACATGAAAAGAAATGAGAAATTTCAACATTTGCTTAAATATAAATGCTGAAATCAGCTGAAAATCTGGGGCATTGCCAGACTTTAAATGTTTAATACCTCAACTTTATTTAAGTTTGATGATGACGGTGTCCTCTTCTTTATTTGTACTCTAAGGTTGGGGAATATTCTCAAAGAGATTCATTGTTTTAGTAAGGTCCATAACATGTTTACATTTCTTCTAAATAAGAACTACCGTAATAATAAATACTAATAAATTCATCCTTAAAAAACATGAAACATGTGGGACCACAGTAATTCTTATTGTAGCGTATTCCCAGAGTATGTCTGACTCACTGCTATTTTAAAAAATGAATAAATAAAATCTGATCAGCGCCACCCTCGTTTTGGATTTCAGTGGAACGAAAGAGTTTGATCTGTGCGGCTGTAGCATTAAGCATGCAGCGCACCATTCAGCCAGTTCAGCCTCAGGACTGGCCAACAAACTGGACCACTGGTTCATCTCACCAGGTGATTGGGTAATAATTATGAGGTGGCCAGAAGTGGGTGATTATTATGCATTGGTATTGTGCCTGTGGTTCAGCCCTGAGCAATGTATTTCACACTTCATCATGTCAGGTAAAAAAGTATTTCACACCACTTGCACTTGCAGAGAGAGAGAGAGAGAGAGAGAGAGAGAGAGAGAGAGATGTGCATGCATGCAAAGGTTGATGGGGGTTTACCCGTGGTTAGTCACTAGTAATAGATGGACCTTGGACAAATAGAGGCTACCACTGTTTTAGCTGCATATGGTGCATTTGAGAGGAATAGCAATATAACATCCCTGAATATAAATGTCAAACTCAACATACTGTATTTCTTAATAGAAACTTAAATAAAAAAAATACATTTCTGTCTTGTATTTCATGTTCTTGCATCACACATTTCCCTAATAATTTGGTCATACTTCGTGACTCATACATGACTAGTACACAGCAGCACAGAACTCGACCATTTCTTTAACACTATCTCGGGTTTTTCGTTTTACAGTGAGTCAATCCACAGTCAATCAATCAATTAATTCTTTTAGATTTATTATTTCTTTAGTTAGCATTTTCTGTGTGTGGATGGGGGGGGGGGGGGGGGGGGGGTCACTAGTATAAGCTCCTGATATCCAAGGTGACTTAGGAAAACTGGTTTCAACTGACCAAAAGTGCAAGAACCAAAAGGTAATTACGAAGAAAAAAAATATTATAGGTAACATTTAATAATCTAAAACCAAACGTATGTATTAATTATTAATTGTGCATTTTACATGTAAACATTTTTTAACATTTAATTTTTTTAATTCCAGCTATTAAAGTGATTAATTAACCCACTAATTACTTCTAATGCGCACTCAGAACAACAGGGATCAAATTCGCAATCGCTTCTATTGTGGGGAATGCAGAACGGTTCGTAAGTTTACTGCCGTTCTGGCTGACGAGCTGATGTTTCAGTGCAGCCCAAATGTCATGCTCGTATCCGAAATCCTACCTGTGATACTGCGCCTGCAGGAACTGGAACTCCTCCTTGATCCGGTCGCAGGACTCGGTGACAGTGAACTTGAACGGCTGTCCCGGCTGATGAGGGACCTCAATCCAAAGCAAACAGCGTGCGAAGGAAGAAAGGAAGAACTGAGCCACCAAAGTTCAGCGTCACGACACACACACAGGCAGGACTGTAGCTGACAATAGGCCTCTGTGATAAGGATGGCCTTTTTGGTTTCACTCAGTCTCCTTACACGTTAACTCACGCACACTCAGAGACACACATGCAGCTGTGGCAGTTTGACAATGAGCGCAATTGTCCGTGAGAGCGCGCAGTGGCACGGAAACTTGATCTAAACTGATTACGCATCAGGCGCGACTGTTAATCTGCGCTGTTTTGACACACTGCTCTTACCGCTACTGTTCTGTACTTACCGGATGCCGCGCCGGGGGGTACATCTTGCTCAGATCTCGAATCATTGAAAATGTATTGCAATGTTCATCCAGAAAAACACGAAAACAAAGTGTGTGAGAACCGAGCTTTCTCCGTGCGTAAAAAGTCAGTCAGTGGCTGGTTTGCGGGCTAAATGCAGGTTCCGCGAAGAGTGGAGACATCCTCGGACCTTTGGCTGACCAGAGACAGCAAGACAGTAATTCAAAAGTCCATTCAGCGTAATAATAAAAGCAAAAATTTTCTCAGTCTTTTCCAAAATCTTCAGCACCTTATTCTAAGCGCTTAACGCTCTCCTTCTGAACTAACAACAAATCCTCTATCTTCTCAGATTTCTCACAGAAAACATTAAAATCTCGCACACCATGACCCTACTTGTCTGCGAGTACGCTTCTCCACAGCGTCCCGTTGTCACGCGTTCATTGGTTTATTTCCTACAGTCTCCGTTAAAGGTTTGCATCCTCATTCAGCACCCGCCGACCGACCACCTCTCCGACTACAGCAGCCTGCCTCCGCGACGCCAAATTTAGAAGCAACCAGTCGTACGAGCTCAATTACATATTCACTACAATTACAAGGACCCGTAGCACGACGTCGGGACGTGTAGTTTAATTCATATTAGTCGATAATAAGCCCTACAGATGTGCGTCTGCTGTAAAGAACTACAACTTCCCAGCTCCTTCGCGAAACCCCCAAAGCCAATGGTGTGTGGTCCGAGGGAGGAGCGGCCATTAAAGCCAGCCAATAGCGACAGAAAAGTATACACGCTCCGTTGCACCCCCCTGCCAATCATCTATAAACTATCCAATCACATCCAGCAAGACGCGATTTATGCAGACCCCCACGTGGGGGCTGCTCTGGTACAAAAGGATGTCACAGGGATTAATCTGAAAACTATCTGTTGACTTATGTGTTCTTTTTTTTCTTTCTTTTTTTCCAGAGACTTTGGGGCAGAAGTGAACATATGGCCCCTTGGTCTCATGTTTTTCTCCTGTTTCCTAATTGAAATCACCTATTAAACAGTCTGCTATCATGTCCGCAGATTGCACCTATAACCCTGCAATTAAATTCTCATGCAGCCCCCTCATCTCTCACTTCACATTATGTAAATCATACAGAGGGTGGACAAATAAAAAACTGATTATGTTAGAGCCACAAAGGTGGCATCAATATCAGGCTGGATGTCAATTAGCGATTCAGCCAGTTCTATTTATTCATGTCTAGTTGGAAAAACATTTACACAAATTTCTAATTTTATGTTTTTTTCTTTTAAATTAAGTTTTTAACGACATAATAACAATCTGGTTGGTTATGGTCGGGCTGTTTTTAACTTCTTCTGCATTTAAACATTTAACAAATTTTAGAAATCCCTCAGATCTCAACTTGAAAAGTGAGTAGCATCTGTGACTGCCAGCTAAAATATACCGCAGGCAAACGAAATCTGGTGAAGTGAAATTATGATGTCAGTACTTTATGTACTTAAGTTGTCTTTGGCTTCTGATTATGGCTGGAAAATGCTGCTAATACACATTTAGGCTCCCACCATTCTTTCGTTTTCTCAGTCTCTTTTTTGTGATCTCATGTCTCAGACAAATTCCTAATCCTAAATGCTAATCCTGCTGTTCATATTTCAGCATACACTCTAACATACAGCACACATGTGACATTATCCTTTTTTTATAAGTACAAGCAGGGTGAATGCATTTTATGTATTCCATACGTGTGCACTGCTCAGATAAATGCCGCCTAAAAGAGCTTGAATCATTTGCCTAATTTCTCTGCCCTTTACGTAGTACAACCCAAATGGAACACCTCTTGCTAAGTAAATTGAAATATTATGACTAAGACTCTCTTTCTCACACACACACACACACACACACACACACACACACACACACACACACAGAGTTGACACCATTCATTTTGAGCGAACAAGTGCATATAGTCTGTCAGCCTGCATTTGTGGCTGTGAGAAGATGTTCAGTGTGGGTAGATGAAACACACTGTTGCTGGGTCAGCAGCTCTCTTCACTGCTGCCTTCGGTCATTTAGCAGAACTAACTGACTGTGTCCAGAAATCTTAATCATTTTGTGCTGCATTACACTTTATATTTCATGTCCCTTTCTCTGAATTTATCATTACCCATTAAAGCTATTTAGGATCACGTTTGTTATAATCTGTGTGTCTGCTTCACACGACACAATAAAATACATTTCAGTGCTTCAGTAGTATATGTTGTAATGTTACTTCTATGATTAATAATAATAATATTTGCTCAAACATACTAACAGGTGTATGAATTACTATCCACAATGTGACACCACATCAATCCACTTTCCTTGTCAGTCTGTCTGCTTCTGTCTTGTCTGTTGTCTCTGCCCCTCCCTCAAACATACATGGGATTGTGCGCACAGAGACACACACACATCGCCTCAGCCATTCAAATACACATCTCTATCTACCACACATACAAACTAATATCTCAGGTAAGCACAGAGCCTAAAGTGACCTGCTGTCGCGGTGCGTGAATCCACCAAGGCTGTGAAAAGGTAATATCATGCCCTCCCTCTTTTCTCCTCCAAGGGTTGAGCCATGATGTGGACGAGCAGAGGAGGTGCAGAGGTGAGGGAGGGGAGCGGGTGAGGAGGAATAAACAGATTTATTTGCCTGTGCCCCTCTCTGATTATTTTGCCCCTGCCTTTTGTTCCAGACCTTATGAAACCCAAATGTCAAGTGAGGCGAGGGCCTCATATCGAGTCCTGTCAATCACGACCCTCTGCGCACCTGAAGCTCTGACGCCGGATTATTGGCTTCAACACAAGGGCTGCCTATGCCGCCAGGCACGATGCCTCAGACGATTCGACAGCCAAGGCTCTCTCTTTTTTTTTTTCTAAAGAGGAACTTCATTTGGCAGCTGATTCACAGGAGATTGCACAGGAACGGATTTTGAGCGTAGATGGGTAGCAAGCTGGATGCTGGATGTCTGTGTGTGTATGGAGAGTGGCTTATACAGGGAGGGGGGATTAAGGGGGAGGCTTGACATGGTCTGTGGTGGGGAGTGGGTGGCGAGGAAACCCGACCTTAACATCTTGCTCAGTGCACTGATCCCAACTATCAGTACCTGTACATATGTCCCTCCCTCCTTCTCACTGTTGCACACACGCAGATGCACACACATCACTGCCTACTGCTTCTGCTTATCTTTAATATTATACTCCCTCACTATTACTTTTCAACATCGTGCTCTTACAAACACAGAACACTGGCCGAGGATAGCATATCCTTGTTTAGCTTTCCATGCAGCATATAAAGACTAGATGAGATCTTTGTGTACACTCAGAAAATAAAGTATCTTCCACTACATTTGGGAATATACCAGCTGATCACCATAGCTTTACCCTTTAAAGTACTGCCATTGTAAGCTTGTAGTTTGTACCTTAAGGAAACCAATCTTTTATATCAGGGTACAAAAACGGAACGTTTAAAAAGGGTGCATCTTTAATTTTATACGTCCTCGGGCTGATCCATCAATAACCCTGACACGGTTGTCCATGAAGTTATTGTAGACAAATAATCGCTAATTAAGGTGGTTGCCTGTGTGAGGAAGCCAGAGAAAACTAAACAGGCACAAATAGAACAAAGCTCAATACAAGATACAAGAAAGATACAGAATGGCAAATGTAAGAATTTATTGAATGCTTTTAATTTAACTTAAAGAAACAGGAAAATCTTCCCATAGGGACAGAAATTGGTTTTCACTTTACTGCTATTTACGTTTAATAATGTGTGCCACATCAACTTTAAATGGTGCAGAAGGTGTCGTTTAGGCGAGACTCCTCAGCAAGCGCATTAAAAACTAATTATCAGTCAGGCTACATCGATTGCTGTAAACTCCACATAACATGGCAGCACCAGCATGGGCTCATTATGATAGCTGCTTCAGTGTGTTTCTCTGGACACCAAAGTTTTGTGCAACTGCAAATTAAAACACAAACAACACAGATTTTCATACCCGAGCTAATGATTTAATGTTATATACGACTAATAGTGTTTTGTTGCATCAATGAAATTAACAAGTAAAAGTCACAAAATATTTTGTAGCTCAGCAGAGAAGAAAACGATGTATACTCGTCATTGGTGCTAAGGAAATGTGGGCTTATTTTAGTGCTCATATACAAAAGCCTAATGGACTATCTCCTAACTATTTATCTGGTTTGTTCATTAGTTCTAGATTTGCAAGAACTTGTAATTTTGGTCTCTAAATGTTCCCCCAAGAAGAACAAAGATGTATGGAGCTGTTCCAGTTTTGATTTATCTTCATGTCTTTCTATTATATTTGTATTTTGTTTTTTATTCTCATTCCAACTATTTATTTATAAGTGACTTATGTATGTATGTATGTATATATATGTATATATTGTACTATTCTTAGTTAGCGTATTGTCTGTCTTGTCTTAATGTTGGTTTAAAATGGAGCACTGTAACAAAAAATAATTTCCCCCAGGGATCAATAAAGTATTCTGATTCTGATTCTGATTCTGATGTCCTTTTTGTTACTTTTTTTTTGCAATTTTATTTGTTTTTTAAACTGAAATAGCTGTCACAAAGCCTCCGGGTGTGTTCAATGGTCAGCTGAATTTGTTCGCTTTTAGTTATACTTTTATTCCTAACTTGTTTGGTTAACATTGTGGATATGCAAATAGAAAATGAATCAGGAAGAGCAGAATATTTGTAAGGAGTAAGTGAAGGCAGTTGTGAAGAGGCTAAAGAGTAGAAAGGAAGTTGGTCAAGATGACATACCTGTGGAGATATGGAGATGTCTAGGAGAGAGGAGTTTTTGACCAGATTGTTTAATGCAATCTTGGAGAGTGACAGGATGTCTGAGGAGGAAGAGTACTGGTACCAATTTTCAAAAACAAGCTTTATCACTCATCAGTAACTACAGAGGGATAAAGCTGATGAGCCATGACATGAATATATGGTAAAGAGTTGTTGAAGTTAGGCTGAGAAGAGAGGTGATAAAAAGCACTACAGAAACGATGTCTGCTTGGAGAGTGTTGATGGAGAAGTACAGAGAAGGTCAGAAGGAGTTGCTCTGTCTCTCTGTGGATCGAGAGCGCGCACATGATAGAGTGCCAAGAGAAGAACTGTGGTACTGCATGAGGATGTCAAGAGAGCAGAAAAGTATGTGAGGCTGGTGCAGTACATGTATCAGGACAGCCAGACAGTGGTGATGTGTGTGATAGAAGTGACAGATGTATTCAAGATGGGGGTGGGATTACATCAGGGATCTGCTCTGAGCCACTTCTTGTTGGCTGTGATGATGGACAAATTGGCTGATAAAGGTCAGGCAGGGGTCTGTGGAGTATGATGTTGGCAGCTGACATTGTGATCTGTAGTGAGAGTAGGGAGCAGATGGAAGATGGGAGCAATGGCAGGTGGAGGAATCTGATGGAGAGAAGAGGAATGAAAATCAGCAGAAGAAAGACAGC